ATTTCCTAAGTTTCGTTTAGATATAAATGATACAAAATTGTAAAATTGCCGTCTTGCCTGGATAACATGGTCTAGAACTGCAAGGAGCTTAGGCATAGATAACAGGAGCAGAATACAAAACAGAGTAGATAATAGTCCCTGGAACACATCTTATTTACTAATCTCCACAAAACAAAACCACTACTGAAGAAAATCATGGAACAGAAAAGCATTTTAAATATAAAAACCTTGGCTTGCCAACGTTAGAGTCAAAGTGCCAAATAAGCAAACAAGATACGAGAGCTGAATTCTTAAAGGTAGTAATCTTAGATGCCATTAAATATTTAGCATGGTCTATTTGATCTGTTTCTCTCTGGCTTCTTCTTTGGGAGATCTTTATTTAGGGTTTAATAGCTTCCTGTATATTTGGTAGTTGAAATTAGCAGGCTAAATATCCTTCTTCAAAATCTTTATCTGGAAAGAAACAATTCTGGAATAAGGTCTTGTAAGATCTTATGTTTTATTTATCAATAAGGCTAGATATGGCAAGCATATTTAGTTCTGAACATGAAGACTAGGAAAGAGGAATATGTATTCTGTTGGCTGAATCACAATTGCCTTGATTATGAGAATAATTCTATTTACCTGGGCCTAATAATATTTGTAGGCATGAACATAGGTATTCCATACACATGTATAGATGGGGCTCAGTATCCTCTTCTCCTGAGTTCACATCAACACAAAAAAACACAAGGTAGGTATTGACTTTAAAGATAGCCACAGTGTTTTCTTATAACCTTAACCCCCACCCCCCCTTCCCATCCCCAGACATGGGGTTTTTTAAAATACAGATGCAAATCTAAGGAAAACGTGAATATTTGTTTTTTGGACTCATGCATAAATAATATTAGCTCTTCCTTTTTAATTCATCCTTGTAGCAATGAGCAACAGGAACCTGGTTGTCTCCTGGCACAAGGTAAATCTCATATGTAGATCTATTTTTTTTCATAGATTTCATAGATTTCATAGACATTAGGGCTGGAAGGGACCTCGGAAGATCATCGAGTCCAGCCCCTCACCCAAAGGGCAGGAAGTCAGCTGGGGTCATAGGATCCCAGCAAGATAAGCATCCAATTTACTCTTGAAGGTGTTCAAAGTAAGTGCTTGAGCCACCTCCGATGGCAGGCTATTCCAGACCTTGGGGGCTCGGACAGTAAAGAAATTCTTCCTTATGTCCAGCCTGAAACGGTCTTGCAGTAGTTTATAACCATTCGACCTCGTCATCCCTTGGGGCACTCTGGTGAACAAATGTTCCCCCAGATACTGGTGGTCACCCCAATAAACTTATAGGTGGCCATCAGATTGTCCCTGAGCCTGTGCTTTTCCAGGCTAAAAAGCCCCATAGCTCTCAGCCTGTCGTCGTAAGGTCTGGTTTCCTGACCTCTGATCATGCGTGTGGCTCTTCTCTGCACTCTCTGAAGCTTCTCCACATCCTTTTTGAATTGTGGGGCCCCAAACTGGATGCAGTACTCCAGCTATGGCCTTACCAAGGCTGAGTACAAGGGGAGAATGATGTCCTGGGATTTGCTTGAGAAGCATCTATGGATGCAAGCCAGCGTTTTGGTTGCTTTACTAGCAGGGAGGATGGGGGAACCCAGTGGGGTGAGCTAAGCACTTAAATTAGATTATTAAAATTAA